GACACAGATACAGACATGGACACAGATACAGACACAGGACACAAGACACAGGACACAACCACAGACACACAGACACGGACAGAGACACAGACACAACCACGGACACAGGACACAGACACAGACATGGACACAGACACGGACACAACCACGGACACACAGATACACACAACCACGGACACACAGACAGACACAACCACGGACACAGACATGGACACAGACACGGACACAGACATGGACACAGACACAATCACAGACACACACAACCACGGACACAGACACATCCACGGACACAGACACAACCACAGACACAGACACACCACGGACACAGACACGGACACAGACACAGACATGGACACAGACACAACCACAGACACGGACACAGACACACACAACCACGGACACAGACACAACCACGGACACAGACACAACCACAGACACAGACACAACCACAGACATGGACACGGACACAGGACACAACCACAGACACACAGACACAACCACAGACACGGACACAGGACACAGACACACACAGACACACAGACACAACCACAGACACGGACACAGACACAACCACAGACACACAGACACAACCACAGACACACAGACACACACACCACACAGACACGACACAGGACACAACCACAGACACACAGACACAATCACAGACATGGACACAGGACACAACCACAGACACACAGACAGAATCACAGACACAACCATGGACACAGACACAGACATGGACACAGACACGGACACAGACATGGACACAGACACAGACACGGACACAGGCACAGAACACCATGTGGAAAGAGAGAAAGCCAAACGTTTGGAATGATAAAGGACAAAAAGGACACTGGGGTGGTAGAATTCTTAAACCAGATGCCCTGCCTGTCGTAATCTTGGAAATAGAACACGGGTGAAGAGTCTAAAAACACAACAACAGCAAGAAAGAGGCAAAGCACACTCCTGTTCAGTCAGACGGTGAACGTTTAGTTAACTGTGAATATTTGGTAAATATTGGATCATTTTGTGTTACTGGTGTTTAGGAGAGTGTCCAGACGTCCCTGTTTTACCCGGGACAGTCCCAGTTTTGAGCCTGTGTCCCCTGTCCCAGCAGATTTATACAAAACCATCGATGTGTTCCAGTTTTATACAAGAAATGTCCCAGGTGTCTCTGTTTTGGACCAATTTGATCTAAACCAGGTCTAAACTAAGACTAAACCAGGACTACATGAGGTCTATCTCAGGTTTAAACCAGGTCTAAATTAGCACTAAACCAGGTCTAAACTAAAACTAAATCAGGACTACATCAGGTCTATCCCAGGTCTAAACCTGGTCTAAACCTGGTCTAAACCTGGTCTAAACCTGGTCTAAACTAGGGCTAATCTAGGGCTAAATCAGGACAAAATCAGGACTACATCAGGTCTATCCCAGGTCTACCTGGTCTAAACCTGATCTAAACCTGGTCTAAACCTGGTCTAAATCTGGTCTAAATCTGGTCTAAACCTGGTCTAAACTAGGGCTAATCTAGGGCTAAATCAGGACTAAACCAGGTCTAAACCAGGGCTAAACCAGGACTATTTCAGGTCTAAACCAGGACTAAACTAGGGCTAAACTAGAACTAAACTAAGACCAAACCAGGACTATATCGGGTCCATCTCAGGTCTAAACCAGGCCTAGAACAGAACTAAACCAGGACTATTTCAGGTCTAAATTAGGACTAAACCAGGACTATTTCAGGACTAAACCAGGTCTAAACTAGGGCTTTATCCCTGCCAACAGTAAAGAGAGACATAAACTGTCATTTGTTTTGGTAAAATCCTGAAAATCTGCTTAAAAATAACCAAAACACAAAGAAACTGTGACTGTGCTGACTCTCTTGCTCGTCGTGAATGAGCTGAGTGCAGAACAATTTTCTTTAATTACACACTCACTTCACAGTTTTATTATTACCAACACCACAAACCGAGAGTGTCCCAGTTTTTGATTTTGAAATTCTGGTCACTCTTGCTTTAGGAGAATCTCTGCTTCAACTTAGGGTGAAAATAAAACCGTGAACTGAGTGTGTAATTAAGAAAAAACTGTTCTGTCCTCGGGTCATTCACAACAAACAGAGTCGGTGAGTCAGTATAATCACATTTTCTTTGTGTTTTTTTTTTTTTTTTTTTTGGCATTTTTAAGCAGATTTTGTGTATTTTATCAAAACAAATCACAATTTATGCCTCTATTTACTGTTGGCAGGTATGAAGCCCTAGTTTAGACCTGGTTTAGACCTGGTTTAGACCTGGTTTAGACCCAGTTTAGACCTGGTTTAGACCTAGATTTAGACCTGGTTTAGACCCAGTTTAGACCTGGTTTAGACCCAGTTTAGACCACGTTTAGACCTGGTTAAGACCTGGTTTAGACCTGAAATTGTCCTGGTTTAGCCCTAATTTAGTCCTGGTTTACTTCTGGTTTAGATCTGGTTTAGCCCTAGTTTAGACCTGGTTCAGATCTGGTTTAGACCTGAAATAATTGTGGTTTAGCCATAATTTTAAACCCCAGTCTAGACCTGGTTTAGACCTGATATAGTTCTATTTTAGCCCTAGTTTAGACCTAATTTAGACCTGCTTTAGACTTGAAATAGTCTGGGTTTAACCCTAGTTTAGTCCTGGTTTAATTCTGGTTTAGACCTGGTTTAGTCATGTTGTAGTCCTGTTTTAGTCCTGGTTCAGTCCTGGTTTAGACCTGTTCTAGACCTGATATAGTTCTATTCTAGCCCTAGTTTAGACCTGATTTAGACCTGAGATAGACCTGGTTTAGTCTTAGTTTAGTCCTGGTTTAGATCAGATTGGTCAAAAACAGAGACACCTGGGACATTTCTTGTATAAAACTGAGACAAATCAATGGTTTTGGTTAAATCCACTGGGACAGGGGACACAGAATCAAAACTGGGACTGTCCCGGGTAAAAACAGGGTTAACAGAAAGAAATACACATGTCAAACTGTCTTAATGCAAGACGAAATGAACTGAACCAGGACTAAACTTGGACCTAAAAAGTAGAATTGATTAAACTGGTACGAAACCAAAAGTAAACAAGGACTGGACCAATAAAAACACGTAATAAATTCACTCATTTCAACACAACAACAACAACAACAACAGGGCCTTTACTACACGTTTGATTAGAAAAAATAAAACAAAAAAAGCACATTCTGGCTTCAAATACGGAAAACAGCAGCACTTTTGTCCAAACTCGGCCGCCTAAAAGCGATAAGGAAACATACCAGATCAGTAATGTTTCACCTATTAAAGTGTAATTAATGATTTGCTAGAAACGATTTGATGTAAAAGTTAAAATAAAAACAGCCTCAGTGCAGGTTTAAAGGTCCAGTATTACACAAAACCGACTCTCGTGAGCTTAAAGTCGAGTTCTAAAGCTGTTATTTTGTCTAAAATCAGACCTGGAGTTGTGTTTTGTTTCATTCACACATGAGTAATCCTTTAATATTCATCTGTCTGCGTCTCCAAACCTCAAAACGCTCCGTTCCACCTCGTGATGTCACGGTATTTTTCATGTTGACAGCTGCACTTTTACCTTTAGTGAAAAATAACACATGTAAAAATGTAAAATAGCAACAACTTAAATGTCAAACCGGAGCTGAAAACAAACTGCATATGCTCATGAGGAGAACAGGACTGAACCAGGACTGAACCAGGACTGAACCAGGACTGAACCAGGACTGAACCAGGACTGAACCAGGACTGAACCAGGACTGAACCAGGACTAAAACAGGACTAAGCACAACCGTCCCCCAGTCACACTTTGTGGACACCCTGCTCCATGGGCTCGGGGTTCTTCCTCTCTTAGTCCTGGTTTAGACCTGCTGTAGACCTGGTTTAGTCCTGGTTTAGCCCTGGTTTAGACGTGATTTGGACCTGGGTTAGTTCTAGTTTAGAGCTAGTTTAGTACTGGTTTAGTCCTGTTTTAGTCCTGGTTCAGTCCCGTTTTAGTCCCGGTTCAGTCCCGGTTTAGTCCTGTTTTAGTCCCATTTTGGTTCTGTTTTAGTCCCGGTTTAGTCCTGTTTTTCGTCCTGGTTTCGTCCTTGTTTAGTCCTGGTTTAGACCTAGTTTAGATCTGGTTTAGTGCCGTTTTAGTCCCAGTTAAGTCCTGGTTTAGTCCTGTTTTAGTCCTGTTTTAGTCCCGTTTTAGTCCTGGTTTAGTCCCGTTTTAGTCCTGGTTCAGTCCTTTTTTAGTCCTGGTTTATTCCTGTTTTAATCCTGTTTTAGGCCTGGTTTAGTCCCGTTTTGGTCCCGTTTTAGTCCTTGTTTAGTCCTGTTTTTCGTCCTGGTTTAGTCCTTTTTTAGTCCTGGTTTAGTCCTGTTTTACTCCTGCTTTAGTCCTAGTTTAGACCTGGTTTAGTCCCGTTTTAGTCCTGGTTCAGTCCTTTTTTAGTCCTGGTTTAGATCTGCTGTAGACCTGGTTTAGTCCTGTTTTAGTCCCGGATCAGTCCTGGTTCAGTCCTTTTTTTAGTGCTGGTTTAGACCTGGTTTAGACCTGGTTTAGAGTTAGTTCTGTCTTGGTTTAGGTCAGCAGAGTTTGTCAGAAATCAACCAAATGATTCTAGTGAAAGTGTGTGGAGTTTAAAAACACAGTGGAGCACCTTCTGTACCACCTCGTGACATCACAAAGTGGACGTTTTCTGTTTGCGAGAGGAACTCGGCCTCAATGTGCAGGGTTTGAGTCAAACGTGCGTGAATCAAACAAAATTCCAGGTGTGTTTTCGATGAGGAAATGACTTCAGAAACACAGATCAGAAAATAAACCCTTTAAGACCCATTGCTGCATTTTTGTAAACAATGATAATACGCTGAAATATTTCGTAATAAATGAGCTTACGGAGTGGCTTTAACGCGAACAATTACGCAGAAAATAACAGCTGTCAATCATCTTTCGACGTATCAAAATTCGACGTCAATAAACATCGGCCATTTTTGTAGTTTTTTGTAGTTTTCTCACCTGATAGTCGCAGAATCCACAGACAGAGTGCAAGTCTCAGGAGTAGCCTTGTCATTCTCCTTACGAGGAAACTTTCTGTTCAAGCTGAGGACGAAGCTCCGAGGTCCAGTCACTCGTTCCCAAAATGCCTCTGGTGCGCTTTGGTCATCCTCGCCAAAAAATAAAAAAAATAAAAATCCAACCTGCGATACTCCAAAACGGGGGGGAAAAGAGGAATATTTACAAAAACAAAAGTGTGAATCCGGTTTGCGGTGCTAGGAAAACCCCATGGTGTTCGCCTAACCGACCCAAAAAAAGCGCAATACCTGTCTGGATACACCTGTGCCTGACGCGTAAAAAGGAGGAGGGAGGGTTGGAACTTTTGGAGGCGTTCGTCCGTGCGTAAAAGTGGCCGGACAGGTTCGGCGAGGAGGAGGCAGTGACAGTTATTTTCTCGTCGTTACTTGCTCAGAGCAGGTGAGAACGAACCGGCGAGGCTTAAGACAAAAACACGCAAAGGTTACCTCCTCCCAAAAGGAAAAAAAAACAAAAAAAAAAAACAACAATAATTCAGCGGGAGCACATGCGTAAATTCGGGCTCACTCGCGAAAATTTAAGAGGTAAAAAGCGGGATTATTTACTCTCACGTGGTTAAAACCGATTCCTTTACAACCGTGAGCCTAAAACGAGTGAATAAAAAGTGATTAAGTTGGATTTTGTTCGTGAATTTACCTGTTTTTGTTTTAAAAGTGGCGCGCGTGTGTTGACAGGAGCTCGTTAGCTAGTTAGCATAAAATAAAACTACAAAAAAAAAAAAAAAACTACAACACTCAGAATATAAAAAAATTATAAATACAGCTCAAATAATTACACATAAATATGCATAATTAATTAATAGCAGTGTGTAATCACGAGGAGAGTAAGAAAAAATCATTCAGGTGTGTAAAAAAAAACAAAACTATTTATTCTCTAACCTGTGTAGCGTGACGAGATTTTCAAAATAAAATACAGCAGGGACATTTCCGGTTTTTTTGGTGGCTGGTAATAATAAAATTGTGAAACAAGTGAGTAATTTAGGAAAATTAAGGATGTAATGTGTCAGTATAATCACATTTTCTTTGTGTTTTGGTCGTTTTTAAGCAGCTTTTCTGGATTTTGCCAAAGGAAGTTAAAGTTTATGTCTCTCTTTACTGTTGACAGGTTTAAAGCCCTAGTTTAGTCCTGGTTTAGACCTGAAATAGTCCTGGTTTAGTCCTAGTTTAGTCCTGGTTTAGACCTGATTTAGTCCTGGTTTAGTTCTGGTTTAGACCTGATATAGTCCTGGTTTAGCCCTAGTTTAGTCCTATTTTAGACATGGTTTAGATCCGAAATAGTCCTGGTTTAGAGACCTGATTTAGACTTGGTTTAGTTCTGGCTTAGACCTGATATAGTCCTGGTTTAGCCCTAGTTTAGACATGGTTTCGATCCGAAATAGTCCTGGTTTAGTCCTAGGTTTAGACCTGATTTAGTCCTGGTTTAGACCTGAAATTTAGTCCTGGTTTAGACCTGAAATAGTCCTGGTTTAGTCCTAGTTTAGACCTGATTTAGTCCTGGTTTAGACCTGAAATTATCCTGGTTTAGACCTGATAAAATCCTGGTTTAGTCCTGGTTTAGATGTGGTTTAGACCTGAGATATACCTGATAAAATCCTGGTTTAGTCCTGGTTTAGATTGGTCAAAAATAGACACCTGCAACATTTCTTGAATAAAACTGGGACAAATCAGTGTTTTGTTTTTTTGTATAAATCTGCTGGGCAGGGGTCACAGGCTCAGTAGGTGACTAGATTTTCAAAATAAAAAAACTAGGACACTCTCGGTTTGTGGTGGTTGGTAATAATAAAACTGGGAAACGAGTGTGTAATTAAGTAAAACGCTTCTGAACTCGGCACTAATATGAATCAGTATAGTTATTTTTTAGTTACACGATGCATTTATTCTGCATTTCTCTCTCTAAAAAAAAACACTTTATCGATAATTTACACAAAACGTTCAAATTGAATATAAATATAGTCTACAAATATGAACCTTAGAGCAGTTTTGTGACATATAAAACATAAATTAGGCATAAAAAACATAAATGTGTCCAAAATAAACTTTATATCCAGCTCTTCTACAATCTCAATATTTAAAAATTAAAATAAATATACTTCATTATACAAAAATAAGCAAAATAGTTTCATCTTGATTATGAGTTTGGAGATTGTTTGACACACAAATCAAAATTGTGATCAAAATTCATTTAACTGCACAGACTTAAGTTGGATTTTCTTTATGTTTTGGTCGTTTTTTAAGCCGCTTTTTTGGATTTTACCGAAACAAATCACAATTTACGCTTCTTTTTACTGTTGCCAGGTATAAAATTGGTCAAAATCTGGATGTTTTTTTGTATAAAACTGGGCCAAATCACTGGTTTTGGGCCGTTCCGGGAAAAACTAATGTCGAGACTTGTTTCGTTATTAAAATCATTGACGCAAAGCGGAAAAAAGCTTCATCAGCATCATCAGTCCGACACCGATGACCTGTTTGTGTCTGGAACATTTTCTGTGGGTCAAAGGGTCAACCACAAAAAAACAAACACACACACACATTAAAAAAAAAAAAAAAAAGAAAAAACGCAGATACAATGGCGTAGAAGAACATAATATTTTATTACAAAAGTTCAAATGCGATCGTAACAATGGTACAGAAATACAGTGTGTTGTTCCTAAAGCTGCTCCTGCGCCTCCGGCTAAACTCGGATCCATCGCTTCCCTGACATCTTGTGGCGAAAAACAGAATTGAGCTTGAATTTATTTTAATTTTACAAAGTTGGAAACACAAAATAAAATCAAAAACATTCCAGCTTAATAAAACCTAAAACTGTGCAAAGAAATACCGGAACAAAACGATTCGAAACAGGATTAAACTTGAAATTAAAACTTGGAAAATTGGATCCTTATAGATATTAAAACTTGATTCTGATTTGAGCAGGAATTTAAATTAAAATTTGTCACATTTACAGGATTAATCTGTGTGTCATTCGTTCATTTGTTTTTCAAAATAAAACTAAAAATAAGAAAATGGAAAAAAAAACAACTATTTTCTTCATTATTTGTCTCTAAAATCAAAATGAAAAAAACATAATGATTTGTTTTTTCAGTTTTCGATTTTGTGTTTAAATGAAAAATGGAAAAGACGGATAACGGACTAAACCAGGACTGAACCAGGACTGAACCAGGTCTCAGTCCCGGTCTGATCCTAGCCTGAGTCCCGGTCTGAGTCCCGATCTCAGTCCTGGTCTAGTCCCAGTTTGATGATCACTCGACAGTCCTGGTTCAGTCCTGGTTCAGTCCTGGTTCAGTCCTGGTTCAGTCCTGGTTCAGTCCTGGTTCAGTCCTGGTTCAGTCCTGGTTTGACTAGACTGAGACCGGGATAGGACCAGGATAAAGACCAGGACCGAGACCAGGACTGAGACTGGTTTAGTCCTGGTTTAGTCCTAGGTTTAGGACTGAGACCGGGACTCAACCAGGACAAGGACCAGACCAGGACTGAGACTGAGACGAGGCCTAAGACTCGGACTGAGACCGGTTTAGACCTGGTTTAGACCTGGTTTAGACCTGGTTTAGACCTGGTTTAGACCTGGTTCAGTCCTGGTTCAGTCCGTTATGTGTTTTTTCCTTTCTTCATTTAAACACAAAATCGAAAACTGAAAAAATGAATCATTATCTGTTTTTTCATTTTGGTTTTGGAGACAGATAATGAAGAAATTGTTGTTTTTTTTTAGTTTTCTTATATTTTTTTGGTTTTATTTTGAAAAACAAATGACACACTTTTGTTTTGTTTCATATGAACTTTGCACAAGAAGTGGGTTTAACAAACACTTTTAGTTTCACAGCCACAATTTAGACTTGATTTTTACTGAACGGTATCGAATCGAGTTGAAATATATCGAATCGTATCGAAAGCTCACTGTATCGTATCGGCCTTACACTGTAAAATAAAAGAAAGTACGACGATTTAATGTTGAAAATCACATTCTACTGTCTAAATAAAGAGCGATTTAAATTATTAATTATGGTTTAGAAATCGAGAACCATGACAACAAAACACAGATAAAATACACAACAATTGCACTACAACTATGCAATTTATAATAATGTGATAAAAGCGACAGTATTCTGAAATAAAAACACACACAACAAAATAAGACAAAAAAAACCTGAAGCTTCTTAAGTGACTAAATAATTCCATATAAGGAAGTGTGTGTTTTACAGTTTCCTCTTATTCAAACCAGTTCCCATTTTCTCAGTTTCAGAAGACGCACAAAAACCACCACAAAATATGACAAAATCTGAATTTAAATACGGACAGAAACAAAAATATGAAGATCTGTGTGTTTGTGTGTGTTTAGGTCTTCATGCCGATAGTTTTGTATTTGTTTTTTGTGTGTTTGTGTGTGTATTTGTGTGTGTGTGTTTGTGTGTGTGTTGTGTGTGTGTTTGTGTGTGTGTGTGTGTGTGTGTGTTTAGGTCTTCATGCCGATAGTTTCGTACGTATCCGCAGGTTGAGTCAGACCCTAAACACACAGTAGAAGTATAGATTTAGCAGTAGTAGTAGTAGTAGTAGTAGTAGTAGTAGTAGTAGTATAGTAGTAGTAGTAGTAGTAGTATAGTAGTATAGTAGTAGTAGTAGTAGTAGTAGTATTGGTAGTAGTTAGTATATTAGTATTTATATTTTTATTTTTAGTAGTAGTAGTAGTAGTAGTAGTAGTAGTAGTAGTAGTAGTAGTAGTAGTAGTAGTAGAAGTAGTAGATGCAGTAGGTGCAGTTGGAGTAGCAGTAGTGGTAGTGCTGGTGGTAGTAGTAGTAGCATTAGTAGGAATATTAGTAGCAGTACTAGTAGTAGTTGTAGTAGTAGCACTACTAGTAGTAGTAGCAGTAGTAGGAGTAGGAGTAGTAGTAGTAGTAGGAGTAGTAGGGGTAGTGGTGGTGATGATAGTAGTAGTAGTCGTAGGAGGAGTAGGAGTAGTAGGAGTCATAGTAGTAGCAGTAGTAGTGGTGGTGGTGATGATAGTAGTAGTAGTGGTAGTAGTAGTAGTAGTAGTAGTAGTAGTAGTAGTAGTAGTGTAGTAGTAGTAGTAGTAGTAGTAGTAGTAGTAGTAGTAGTTCTTGTAGTAACAGTAGTGGCAGCAGTAGGTGGTGGTAATAGTAGTAGTAGTAATAGTCGTAGTAGTTGTAGTAGTAGTAGTAATAGTCGTAGTAGTCGTAGTAGTAGTAGTAGTTCTTGTAGTAACAGTAGTGGCAGCAGTAGGTGGTGGTAATAGTAGTAGTAGTAATAGTAGTAGTAGTAGTAGTAGTAGTAGTAGTTCTTGTAGTAGCAGTAACAGTAGTGGCAGCAGTAGGTGGTGGTAGTAGTAGTAGTAGTAGTAGTAGTAGTGGTAGTCGTAGTAGTAGTAGTTCTTGTAGTAACAGTAGTGGCAGCAGTAGGTGGTGGTAGTGGTAGTAGTAGTAGTAGTAGTAGTAGTAGTAGTAGTAGTAGTAGTAGTGGTAGGTAGGTAGTAGTAGTAGTAGTTCTTGTAGTAACAGTAACAGTAGTGGCAGCAGTAGGTGGTAGCAGTAGTAGTAGTAGTAGTGTAGTAGTGTAGTAGTGGTAGTCGTAGTAGTAGTAGTAGTAGTAGTAGTAGTGTAGTAGTGTAGTAGTGGGTAGTGGTAGTAGTAGTAGTTCTTGTAGTAGTAGTAGTTCTTGTAGTAACAGTAGTGGCAGCAGTAGGTGGTGGTAGTAGTAGTAGTAGTAGTAGTAGTAGTAGTAGTAGTAGTAGTGGTAGTAGTAGTAGTAGTAGTAGTAGTAGTAGTAGTAGTAGTAGTAGTAGTAGTAGTAGTAGTAGTAGTAGTAGTAGTAGTAGTTCTTGTAGTAGCAGTAACAGTAGTGGCAGCAGTAGGTGGTAGTAGTAGTAGTAGTAGTGTAGTAGTAGTAGTAGTAGTAGTAGTAGTGTAGTGTAGTAGTGTAGTAGTTCTTGTAGTAACAGTAACAGTAGTGGCAGCAGTAGGTGGTGGTAGTAGTAGTAGTAGTAGTAGTAGTAGTAGTAGTAGTAGTAGTAGTAGTAGTAGTAGTAGTAGTAGCAGTAGTAGTAGTGGTAGTAGTATAGTAGTAGTAGTAGTAGGTTGTAGTAGTAGTAGTAGTAGTAGTAGTAGCAGTAGTAGTTTGTAGTAACAGTAGTAGTGGCAGCAGTAGTGTGTAGTAGTAGTAGTAGTAGTAGTGGTAGTCGTAGTAGTAGTAGTAGTAGGTAGTAGTTGTAGTAGTGTATTCTTGTAGTAGCAGTAACAGTAGTGGCAGCAGTAGGTGGTGGTAGTAGTAGTAGTAGTAGTAGTAGTGTAGTGTAGTAGTAGTAGTAGTAGTTCTTGTAGTAACAGTAGTGGCAGCAGTAGGTGTGGTAGTAGTAGTAGTAGTAGTAGTATAGTAGTAGTAGTAGTAGTAGTAGTGTAGTTCTTAGTAGTAGTAGTAGTTAGTACAGTAACAGTAGTGGCAGCAGTAGGTGGTGGTAGTGTAGTAGTAGTAGTAGTGTAGTAGTAGTAGTAGTAGTAGTAGTAGTAGTAGTAGTAGTAGTAGTAAGTTCTTGTAGTAAGTAGTAGTAGTGTAGTAGTAGTAGTAGTAGTAGTAGTAGTAGTAGTAGTAGTAGTAGTAGTTCTTGTAGTAACAGTAGTTGTAATAACGTGATAATGTTGAGTCTTACCGAGTAGATTCCTTCTTCAGTGCCCTGAAACAAAAACAAAGATGTGTAAATTAAAAGGAACTACATGTACCAAAAAAATAAATAAAATAAAAAATAATTATAAATAAAAAAATAAAAAGTATTACACAACTGAACCTGGGAGCAAAGTTTCTCTGACTAAACAAACAGACCAAAGTTAAAGATCAATTTACGTGAAAAAGCGCCGTTTTCTATTCTAATCTACTGATTTTGAGAATTTAAACTGGCAACGCAAATACCACTTTTTGATCAGATAAAATAAAAAAAATAAAAGAGACTTGGCCGGTGTTTTTGTAATTAAAAATAAAACAGAATTGCAGTCAAATGTTCGCGTCGTATCTGGAGACAAAAATAAGTCGAGTTTGTGAAATTTCAAAACAAAAATCTTGCGTTTGTTTCTTTTTCTCATGAACTTTTACTTTAAAGTTGTGGGTATTTGTTTCTCACAGTTGTATCTGCGCGGTTTTGAATGTCGAGCAAACGTGACATTTCCTGTTCGAGGTATCTCCAAAATATCTGTCCAGTCAAACCACAGGCTCAGTTTGTGGTGTGAAGACGTGCGATGAAAACGATGCATGTCCGAGTTAAAATCTATTTCGATAAAAGCGCTGAGGAAGTGAATAAAACTCGCTCTTGCATCACATTTACAAAGGTGCAAAGTTTGAACTGAATAAAAATCTGCAAACTGCATTTTAATACAAATACAAATTCAAAACTGCAGGTCAAATTTCACAAGAGCATAAAAATACATATGTA